GGTGATGCCATTTGAGTAGACAATGAAACCATCGGGCTCCTTGTCGATATGAACGTCGTCAACTTCAAACTCCATAACACTGTGACTTGATAACCGATATAATAGTATTATTGCCAAGACTGTTGATTATGAAAATAAAACCATATCAAAGAAAAAAAAAAAGCACAGATTAATTTAGACAAAGCAAGAATTCAATCCGCTGAATCTTCACTCGGTAACCAGATTCTATTGCAGTCGAAACATTCGTATCAATTCCCTTAATGAAGCTACAATTGTATGAGTTCACACACACACACACACACATACACACACAAAAATATATCAATAAAATGAAAAATTCATAACGAAATTGGAAACGAAGGGCAGTTTCTTACGGATAAATCCAAGTTCTGCGAGGGATTCTTCTTCGCTTATGCTTCTGTGGTGGCGTTATGGAGAGCTTTCTTGTTGAACTCTGCGTGTATTGTGCTGCCTGCTTCTGTTGCAGATAGTTATAGAGAAGGGGGAACTTAAACTAACGGCGTTAGTTGACGGTGGTTGAGAAAATTTTGGAGTAGCGGAAAGTGTAATAAACAAGAATAGAAGGATAAGAATGTAAAGTTGAGCCATAAAGTGCAAGATGTGATTAAAAACTTATAATTTTGTCAGTCTTAATTTTATATTCCTATGTTTTTTTTTATATATATTCATTAATTTATGTCTCTTTTTTTCTGATAATGACAAGAGATGAATTAAGAAAAATAACCTACTTATGTATATGTGTACATTAAATTATGCTATTGTTGTATTTAGTGGTTGAGGATTAACAAACTGAATTAAATTTATTTGGAACTCGAAAATTTTCGTTGATCGCTTGACTATTTTCAAATCGAATCCTACTAAAAAGTATTTTAATTATCATTTAAGAAATCTGTAAAATGTTTATCGAGAATTAAACTGAATTGAATAGAACTGAAAAAATTCGACATAATTAACGAGGAGCCGAAAAAAGAAAATAACCGATTTCAACCCGTAATAAATTTATATGCATATAATTTTTTATTTATACATATATAATTATTTTAACATTTCATAAAATTAATTATATATATAAAAAATCCACAATAAAAAAAATTAAAGCTTCATAGAAATACAATATTTACTAAGAATGTGCTTTCAATTCAATAAAAATATTGGACTTTTGATTATTTAACTAAACAATAATTTAATTGCATCACTATTTTGATATTTGGCCCTCTTAGTTAATTAAAAGTGCACATTGATAATTAACTTACATGTTTAGCATTGTACAGCTAATGATAATTTCTTGACAGTTTAACTATGAAGGGTTAGATTGTCAAAACGATGTTTAAGTCTCAACCTTTAGAGCAAATCTTGAATTAGGGATAGCCAAGTTGGTTTAGGACATGAGGACCCACCTTTGAATACTAATTGCTAACCCTTTTGATAATGGCCTCATACCCTCCAATTTTTTCCCAAATTAACCCTACCTTATTTCTTTATTTATTCCTATTTAAGTTTATTTTTTTATTTTTTGCTTTGTCTTTGTTTTTTTCTTTTGTTTATCTAGGCTACCACTTCTACCAAACCCATTAACTAAATGAATAAAACAACTATTATTTGCTTTGTAATTCTTTTAATACTAGTATGTCCATATTCTAAACAAAAAATAGAATACACCATAAAATATATATAGAGAGAGAGGGAGGAGTGGTTCCTATGAGGTCATTATGTGAACGAAGAGATTAGTTACAACAATCTATATATTGGCGCAAATAATTAGGTGTGCTAGGTGTGCCAGAGCCTAGAGTGAGCGCACGTAAAAAAAAAAAAGAGTGACTTTAAATTGAAATTGTTGTCCAATTTATTCTAGCACACGCGCAGAGAGAGGACAAGGTAAGTGAGATAAGGTAAGTATTGTTTAAATGACATGTGTCTTATTTTTATAGGTTAATGAATTTTATATATCATATTAAATAAATTAAATTATCAACTATATTTTATATTAAAAAATAAAAATAAAAATATCAAAATTCATAATTTTTCATTCTCTACAAATAGAGACCACATTTGATAGATTTTAGAATACAATAAATTTATTATTTTTTATAATTAATTTATGTTATTAGAATATGATGACGCAAATCTATAATAAAATGAACATGTTACATAGTAAGATGAACATGTTATATAATAAGATGAACATGTTATAGAATAAGATGAAAATGTTACATATTTACAAAATAAGGTGAACATGTCGTAAAATAAGATGGATATGTTACATAATGAAATGAACATGTTATAAAATAAGAAGAACAAGTATAAAATAAATAAAAAATAAAAAAAAAAAGATGAACATGTTACATATTTACACAAGAAGGTGAACGTGTTACAAAATAAGATGGACATGTTATAAAATAAGATGAACATGTTACATAGTAAGATGGACATGTTATATAATAAGATGAACATGTTACATAGTAAGAAGAACATGTTATATAGTAAGAATGTAAGATGAATATGTTATATAATAAGATGAAAATGTTACATATATACAAAATAAGGTGAACATGTTATAAAATAAGATGGATATGTTACAAAATGAGTAAGATGAACATATTATATAGTAAGATGAACATGTTATAGAATAAGATAAACATGTTACATATTTACACAATAAGACGAACATGTTACAAAATAAGATGAATATGTTACAAAATGAGATGAACATGCTATAAAATAAGATGAACATGTTACATAATGAGATGAACATGTTACATAGTAAGATGAACATGTTATATAGTAAGATGAATATGTTATAGAATAAAATGAAAATGTTACATATTTACAAAATAAGGTGAACATTTTTGGGAGATTTGGATGGCATGAGGTGGAGACTTACATCTTCGGGTGCATTCTCTACGTCATCAGCCTGGGGAGAAGTGAGGCCGGGCAACCGGCCAAACCGCCTCTTCGGGGCCATATGGACCGACCTTCTCACCCCGACTATTTCCGTCTTTTTGACTCGACTATACTAGAATTTGACTCGATTATACTAAGTTTGACTCGACTGTACTAGAATTTGAATGGATCATACTAGAATTTGAATTGATTATACTAGAATTGAATTGATCATATTAGAATTTGAATCGATTATACTATAATTGAATATATCATACTAGAAATGACTCGACTATACTAGAATTGGCTCGATCATACTACAATTGACTCTATTGTGCTAAGTTTGACTCAATTATACTAAGTTTGACTCAGTTATACTTGGTAAAATGAATATGTTACTTTGTAAAATGAATAAGTGTCTTGGTAAAATGAACATGTTCAT